CTGAAGACCTGGTCCCTAACATTTAAAAAATGTGATATTAAATCAAGTCATTACATAACTATACGTTATTAGTCCTAAAAAAGCACCTGCCACATTCAATAACACGATGCCTGCCTTAAAGCAGTGCCAATATCTATATCACTTTTTGGCCCCGGGCCGGAAAGTCATATTAAGTCTGCATTTATAAGTTTTCTAATTAAATGATAAAGCAGGGCCGAAAAATCATAAAGATTTCTGCAAGAAACTAGGAAATGGCAGCCATTTTGTTTTAAATCGGTCTATGTGTAGACGCCGACAGGTTGCGTAATTGGAACAAAATATTCTCAGTTTCTAAACATTCACCTCATGATTTAGTAGTGTTTAACCGATTGTGTTATAAGTTTACGTGTACTAGATTTTTTACATGGGTCAGGATCTGGGTCGTCTGATCATGGTCTATACTTTTTAGTCATTTCATATTTTGAAACAGGTTTTCCAAACAAACTGATAAAATGTAATTTTACAGTTGTTCTTTGTTATAATTAAAATATGTTAGATTTAAAATAAGATGAAATATCCGAGGATTAAATGTGAAGTATTATAAGTACATGTAGTTATTTAATAAAATTGTCAATAAATTAGTGATTTGATATTGGCCCTGTTATTTGTCCTCTGGTCAGTCGTATTGGCCCTCGGCCTTGGACCAATACAACTGCCCTCCGACAAAAAACAGGGCTAATATCAAATATTACAAATCAGGTCATTCTTTTATAACACTAATTATTTTAAAAAACTACATGTTCAATAACACGATGTCTTAAAACAGTGCCAATATCTATATCACATTTTCGGCACTGGATATAAAGCCCGCATTTTAAGTAATTTGATTGACTAATAAAGCAGGGCCAAAAAAATTATATAGATTTCTGCAAGAAATTGGGAAATGGCAGCCATTTTGTTTTAACTCGGTCTATGTGTAGCCCTCGGACAAAAAACAGGGCCAATATCAAATCACTTTTTTATTAACATAAAATATAATATAATTTTTTCAGATATTTCTCATGAAAAAGTGTAATGTAAACATAACAATGCACTTTTAAATTTTATTGATTAAATAGCCTCCATTAACAAAAAATAATGATATAAAACAAAAATATTGTCTACCTGTTAGAGAACATGAATAATGTAAATATGATAAAATACAATTTGTTATAAATGATCAGTTAGTTTTAGCAACACTTTTAATGGAATAACGAGGAGAGTCAATATCATATGCAAGTTTTGCAAAAAAAATCTAAGTTAGACTCTGAAATTACAAATAAAATTCAGTCCTTAGAGAATGAGTTAAATAATTAAAACTCAGATGAATTATTACATTTAAAACAACACTGTAATCCTTAAGAGAAGAAAAACTAAAAGGACAAATACTGAGATAAAAGAATTAATTAATTGAGGAAGTAGAAAAACCCTCTATTGTTTCGGGTAATCTTGAAAAGCACAATTATCTAGATAAAACTATTTCAAAACTGGAAAAAGGAAATGGTGTAGTTATAAAAGACCAGTCTGAAATATTACAAGAATTGTATGACTTTTATGAAAAATTTTAAAAAAATCATGATAATGAAAATTTAATTTTAAACAGTACTTGAAAAGTGATAATATTCCTACCCCTTATCATTTATAGACAAGTTAAATTGAAGGAAAACTGACATTTATGGAAGCAGGTTTAACTTTACAATGATAACACTCCAGGCAGTGATGGTTTCTCTTTAAACTTCTTCAAAGTATTTTCGAAAAAACAAGGACACTTTATTGTACGATCCATAATGTCAATAATGCCTTCGATACTGATCTTATGGCCATATTTAAGAGACAGGGAATTATAACCTGCATACCAAAGGAAAAATGACCACGTCATCTCCTAAAAATTGGAGACATATAACTCTATTCAATATAGTGTATAAAATTGCATCAGGTTTCAATTGCAAATAGGCTAAAAACTGTTTTAGATAAACTTATTTGTAAAAAACAAACTGACTTTTAAAAGGGACGATTTATTGGTGAAAACACTAGATAGCTTTATGATATCATGTATTACTTAGATGAAAGCAATTTATCTGGTCTTCTTTTGCTTATTGATTTTGAGAAGCCTTTCGATTCCATTTCTATGTAATCTTTACACACAAAAAAACTGAGATATTTTTAACTATGTTAATTCAATTAATATGGATAAAAGTATTTAATAATTATATTGAATCATCTATTATACAAAGAGGTAGTTTGAACATAAGCAGAACCAAATCATTAAAGTTATCAATGTTGGTGGCATGGAACATATCATATCTCAATATGCAGATGATACTTGATTTTTACTTGATGTATCAGATCAGTCTCTTAATGAAACACTCAATGAACTCGAAATATTTCAAGACATTCAGGACTTAATATAAACTTTGATAAATCATGTACCATATGTCTAGGATAAAAAATATACCACCTACTCAATAAAAACAAAATTTAAAATTCTTTGGGAACAATCACAATTCAAACTTTTTGGCATTCATGTGACTTTCATGTAGATCTACAAAAAAATAGTTAAAGTTAATTACAAAGAGAAAATAAACAAAAATAGAAAATTCAATAAAATTTTGGAAACGCCGATATTTGACCCCAATAGGAAAAATAACTGTCATTTAAAGTCTCTTAATACCAGTTTTGAATCAACAAATCCTTAAACTGCCTGCACCTTAACAATGTTGAAGAAAATGCAATCATATTTGATTTCTTATGGCAAGGTCCGACCAAAGTAAAAAAAGCAATTATAGTAAAGGAATATTGTGAAGGCAGTCCACAAAAGATTAATTTAAAAGCATTTATCAGAGGAACGAAACTAACATGGATTAGCAAGTTAATTTTTTATAACAGCCAAGGGCAGACACTGACACATCTTCATTTTGATGAACTGAATTATTCACTTGTTGAAAACACTATGCAGAAAAAAGGCAAAGGCATGTAACAACCAATTTTGGAAAAATGTTCTAGATCTTTCATATTTTCTATCGCTGAGGAAAACAGATTCAGATAATTGTCTTAATGAACCGTTATCGTTATTTTAAAATCACAATATTGTAATATGTGATAAAAGTGTTGTTTTTTTTCTTTTGTTTTTTTTACAAATCTGGGTACGAAAACGGTGTTACATGTATTAATGACATTTTTATAAAGACAAAACAATCTAGACTAAATATAAGTAACAAAATCTTTTTTGTTTGAGTATGAATATACTGCATTATATAGGAATAAAAAAAAGTTTTATAAAAAATCTTTAAAAAATGCAAATCAATGTAAATATTATAGATAAGCAACAACAGTCCTCCTTACCTACTTACTTATCAGTCATAATTGAGAATAAACAAGGTCCCAATCCCATATTGTAATGTAGATAATGAAAGCATTGAGCATCTCTTTTGGTCATGTGTTCATGCATCTAGGCTTCTCAATGAAGTAAAAATAGTATGTGAAAGACAAAAATGTACAATACTAAATGAATGAAAGAAAAACTATCCTAAGTACAAAAATATACCACTATATAAAATATTTCTATTAATCAAACAATTCATTTTTTAAAAGCAGATTTTTAAATGTAACTTTGACATTCCCTAGGCTCAAAGTTTTTCTTCAATTTTAGTACAATTTAGACAGAAATATAGCTTTAAAAAGAAATATATTATACAATTTTGAAAAAGAACGGAAACTGGTCAAAATATTTTTCAGGACACCTTAGATTAAGTTTATATGTGAATATTTTCCTTTTAGCAAAGAAACTTCTATCAATGGTTAATGTAACAAGGTGGGCAAGTGTTTTTGTTTAATATTTATTTACTTTCCTATATACATGCATCCTATATTATTTTTTCTTGTCATTGCATCATTGAATACAGTTTATAATTATACATGAAATAACATTGTATGTTGCTGTTTGGGCTGCCCTCGACCCTTCAGCATCATACTACGAATACATTAAAAGAAAGAAATACAAAAAAAGTAGAAAAAAAAAAAGATTTCAATGGACATGTGAAGTATTTGGCAATGTACCACACATTAAATATACATTCTGATGTTATAATTATTGACCAGCCAGTCTGCATATAAGATATAGTGGTTTTCTTTCTAGATTTTATCCATTGTTAATGTTGTTTAAGAAGCTTTTCCACAAAATCAATGTTCTTATTTTTCCTTGTGTTTATATGTATGTTTATTCCGTAGTGTCTGTTAAATCCAATTATGTCATCCTAAAACTGGATGTAACAAAAACATTTAAGACAAGTCTGAATATTTAATTCCATTTGTAAAAACACTTTAAAAAACTTATTTTTTTTTTTTTGAAGAAAGTTGTAAACTTAACACTTGATATACCATGATTATCGTTGCATTGTGGGATTACGTTCACTGTAAATATTGATGATGTGTATTAAAATTTTAACGTTGAAGGTAGAGAGCAGTACCATATTTATTGTAATATTTAATGTTAAACTTTATGAGTCTTGATGTTTCTTTAGAAATAGAGCAATTTTGTCTTGTTAATTTTTTAGCTTTCTACCAGATTTTGGTAGATAATTTCTACCAGTTTTTGTTATCGACCATTTTGGGTAGTTACCACTCTAACAGTTCTGGGTCGGTTCTACAAATACTTGGCATTTTACCAATTTTTTCTCATTTCAACCACTGCCTAGTATAAAAGCACCAGATTATTGGTCACAAAAAAGATTAAATTAAGAAACTCTTGGTAATAGACGTACGTTAATTTGTCTGCTGAAATCTTTAAATTAAAGTTAAATTAAAATAACATAACAAGTCAAGTTCATAAAAATACTAGAGTTATATCTAGAAGAGTTAAGTACAGAGCTTAGTTATTTTTATACATCTGATATTAGATTATTGTATAACTCTTAACATAACAACACTTAAGTAACTGATAGAGATTTTTACTACACTGTTTATTGAAGAAAATTGGGTAACTTATGTCACCGCGGATGGTAATTGATATACGTAATATGAGATCTTGAGTTCATCAGTACTTAATATTTATTTAAAGGCGTAGCGGTACTAAATTTGTGGGGATATACTATTCTCCGGTCCTGTCGCTTCCGGTCTCCGGTTTCTCCCTGTCTATTTTGTCCGGATTAATAAGAGACCGGCGAATTGTATTTTATTACTAATCACAAAATTGCATGAAAATTGCAGACTCTGATTGATTGAATATGTACATGAGGGATAATGTTTAAAGTCCAACTTCCCTCGCACCGGCTTCAGCGGTACTCAAATTTCAACACTTCAAAGCGCTGGACTCAATTACACCGATTCATTCATAAAAAGCACAGGAGTCTCTATAATACAGTCCCTGGGGACCTTTTAATAATTAGCTTTACATTGGTATAACATTTATCCATGGACCTTATTTGCATATAATGTTTCATTAGCCTCCCTTGCATCACTAAGTAATATATATATACTGTATGTCAAATAGAAAAAAATACGTATATTTAGTCACATTCAGTGAATTCAAAAATAATAGGTCGTCAATTAGCAATTTAATTTCTTTAAGGACATTATTGGCGACATGTCTTTATAGGTAATGTTTTTGTTTTTTTCATTTTACGCCTTTAAATCTATGGTTAGGTTAAACTTTGGTTTACCGATTGTATAAAGTAATTTAGGTAGTTTATATTAATTAACCAGTGAAATAATGTACGTAAATAGAATAAAATAAATATCTGAAGCTAAACTTTTTAGTAATAAAGGTCGAGCACTTAAGAGTAACGAGGACTTATAAAATATGCATAACAAAAACGGAAAGAAAATCTATGGGTTAAGGGTATCATATATATTAATGAAATTGGCAAAATGAGTATCGGCATTGAATGTTATAGGCCTATTGTACCTTGTATGTGTCAATTACATGTACATATGGAAATTAATATAGTATCCACTTTTGTTCTTCTGTGAAAATCAACACACATAATTTATAAGAAATACAGCGTTTTCATTATATGACCAATAAAACTGGACATTTAACATAAGGCTTATCTGAGTGAGATATTCATAAAATTAAACTATTCTAATTTAGATCTAATATAGGCAAAGAACCCCCACCACACCCTGACAGAAGAGGCTCCATGCCTTGACATCCAGAAGCAGACTGAAGTGTTTGATATCAGTAGGCCTGTAACAGCAACACCATTACAACTGCCAGATGACTGTGTAAATTTGGAAACTTTGGCAACAGTTGCAAGCAATGCCCAGACATTCCAATTGCCCCAAGTGTACCATGTTCAGTGCCAGACACCAGCTTTGGTAAGTTGTAACCCTTGACAAAATTTTGTTTAACTTTACAATTACTGAATATGAAAAAAAATAATATAGTTTGGCAATAGTAGCAAAAGACATGTGTACATTCAGTGACCATGTTTCAGTAATTTTTGGATTCAGATAATTCCGTGGCAAATTATACAAATATTTATGATGGTAGGTTTGTATATCAGGTATTATAATACTGCATGGATGTAACGTCACATTTCATTGAATAATCATGACGTTTATATAGTTTTATATACACGGCTGCTGTCAAGTTATTGAGAAATCTCGCTTTTTTCTCAAAAAAGGAGGTCTGCTGTATTTTAAGTTCATTATACATGTTAATATTCCTGACCGGTTAAATGACCATATAAAACGGTTGTTTGCAATATAACCCTAGCATAGCGACTCAGGTTATATTTTCAAACAACTGTTTATATAGGGCCATATAACCTGTCAAAAATCTTTATAACTAATAATATAATTATATACGTTTTATGTATGTATATGATCTGTAATACACATGTATGCATAACTCTAATAGAACTTATTCACTTTATTACGAAGTTGAATATTTTAGTTGATTTCCATGCTGAATTATTTATATCCTAATGATAATAATGGTTGAAGCTGGAAACTTTGATATAATTACTCCTATGTTGGCTTCCTTGGTAAACTATTAGTACTGAGTCTGATTTAGAGCGGTAATGAAAGCATCATAGACTAGCTGAAATGTTGGAAAGATTCACTATATTTGAATGAAATTTTAAAGCATAATGCATCACAACTTATATACCACAACTGAGAAAAAAACTAGACACCAGGTTGTTCAATGGAAAATTTTGAAAAAAAAAACTTGTCTACATTGTCTTTTATTTTTATTCTTAGGGTTCAAGCCTCATGCAGAACTAGCCAAGGTGGTGGAGAACAAGCTGCTACTGAAAGACATTCAGAAACTGTCTCCAGCGCAGCAAACTTCAGATATAGAGGCCTTCCATAAAGTAATGTGCAGTTGGGCTCCAAAATCTGTACATTACATGCATACCTACATGGAATCAAGGTTTGTTTATGTCTGTTGTTTTGTTTTCTGCATGTCATAGTGACTTCTTATCCTTACTGAAGGAACAAACAGGAATTTAAGTAAACAATATGCACCCCAATAAAACCATATACTTTAAATATGCTGACAGGCAAGCATTGTCAAATGAAAGAATTGAAAGTCCCTGGTGGGATTCCAATCAATGATAATTAGGGACAAGATTTTTATTTGAAATTGGTGACTTTAACTTAATACTTGTTAAGGGGAGCGGTGGCCTAGTGGTTAAGGTGTTGCCACTCAACCAAGACATCATGGGTTCGAGCCTTACTCGGGGCATGACTATGTTTCTACATATGACACCAGTGCTGGTTTGTTCCAGGAAGCGGACTCGAAAGTGATTAATATAAGTTAAGAAATCTTGATTTCTGATATTTGCGTCATTATAAAAAAAAGATTTAGTGCTTTTGAGTTGGCAAAGTTAATTGCTCTTCAAGACTTGTTATTTCTGTTTCTTTTTTTGTAACTGAATAGGTTGTGCGAAAATGAATATCCAAAATATATTTTCTTAGGACTATAGTTAGTACACTCCACTTTAATGAAAATGCTAGGAGGGATACACGGACAACCAAGAGTGGAGTGCAACAGTACACACTATCGTATCCAAAAAGCAAAAGGGTGAGCCTGTTGTCAAGGATGTAAACACTGAACAGACATTTGGTAAGTTAAATGCAAAGTAGCCATTGGACGCAAAATATATCTATATTGTACATTAATTTGTCAAACTAATGCCACACTTTCTTTTAATACTTTGTATATCGATACTTTTGAAAAGGCTTAGCCCTTGACATGATGAATTTCTTAAAAATACCGTCAGGTTTGATATGTGCCAGGTAATTGGTCAGCACAGATGGGTAGAAGCGTAGTTTTTCTATGTGACATGAATAAACTGCATCCACGAAGGAGAGAAAATATAAAACTACAGAATTAGTTGATTTTAAGAATAATATTATTTTTGTACAATTATCTCTACAACTTTTCATTTGATAAAGTATAAATTCTAAACTCTAAATATAGCTTCTTTTATCATTTATAGTCAATGTGAAGATAATAGTTTTAATTCTGTTTCAGGATACATTACAGCTTTGATGATGTAAGCAAAAGTACATCGTTTGAGAAACACATCAGACAGATTGGCCGGTGAAAAAAAAAAGAAATCAAAGAAAGACAATTAACATTGGCACAGAGTTCTCCTATTAGACTTAATTTACCTAAATCAACTTTAGTGAAAAATCACATTTCAAGATTTAACCGCTAAATTAAAGCTACATGCCTCAAGATGAGCCAAAATATTTTTTAAAAAAACTTGAGAAAATGTACTTAGCTTTAAGAGAAAGTAAAAATATTCCAAATTCAAGTACTTATTTACTTGTCATGTGCAATTAATGAAGTTTCATTGGATATGTAACTATATTTCTACTGCATTACAATGCAGTAAGGGCTATTTTAGTATATTTTAACTCTTTTATTGTTATTTATATTGGTTGTAAGTGTCATTGATAATGTGTGTAATTACTTCCTTTTGGTTTCATGAAAATATTTTTCTTGTAAACACATTTTCAAATATTTCATGAAAATTAGCATGCCTATGCTGCTCTGAGAAAACAAATTGATCCACAGCCCACAGACATAGTTACGAACTATCTTTGTCATTAAATGGGATGCTGTTTTTGTGTGATACTTTCTGGTCAAGGTGACCTTAAATGTGAAATGTATGAATGCTAAATTTCTAATAAACTTTTGAACTGATAAACTTTTAAAGTGCTGCATTACATAGTTTCTGTACAATTATGTGACCTTTCATTTGAATAACAATACATTTAAACACAAACATTGGCATGTACTCTTTTGTTTGTTAACAAATATATTGTAGTGAAATTTTTATTGTGTCATTGAAGATAATAATTTAAAACGCTAGACTTGTATTTGTTAGTTAACAACCACCCAAAATTTAGGAAGAAACATAACTTAGACGAAAGTTAATCGACTCGAATTTCTGTTTATTTTTTTTTGTACCACACCACCATTTAATGTGACACTTAACCACAATTTTACAATACCCTTTATAGGAATTTAAATTTTGCTCCTTTTTTCCTCAGCATTATCCATACTAAATTCTTTATTTCATTTGACTTATTCAATGCATTTGTAATTTTTTCCAATCTATAGTTATAATTTAATTACAAATACCCTTCATTATTATACTAGGAATTAGAAATCGTTTTTATTCCACTATCATGTATTATCCCTAGTTGAGCACTATGTCTCATAGACAGCTCTTGTCAATATGTCTTGTACAGAAAAACATGAATGTTACTTTCAACTTGTTTGCATCTTTTTTTGAAATGACAATAGATATTTTAGTTTCAACAGTTTGTTCTTTTTAAGATCCTGTTTGTAAGATGTATAATTATATATAAAAATAAAATTGACAGGCTTGGCACATGCATGTACTACCTTGATCCTGGGATTTTCCCTATTCAGTCAATACTATCCAGTAAATACTGACCACTACAGAAAGTAGAGAGTGAAACATTGTTATACGTTATGTATAAAAAAGACTTGGCATTGTATAAAAGTATCTATTGTGGGCAATTTTAGTAGGTCATATTTTGTGCGTTTTAAGATGAGCATTAGTTGGTAAAAGGTTTCAATTTTTGATAATTTTGGATACCAGCTGGATTATAATTTGAGTCATTGGTGCAAACTTTAACATTTTTTAATGGGAATACCACTCACCATATGTGTATTTATTGACTGATGGTCAGCATTTCATAAATTGCAATAAAACATGGACATGGTCACATTACTTGGCTTATTGCTGAACAGTTTGCTTTCAGTGTAAAATCGATTTTGACTATTTTTGCAAAGATTTTAGAAGGGGAAAATAACTTATTCAATAACTAAAATGATAAACTAGTTTAAAATTATTTCCACAATGTACAATACAATTTAAAGAAACATCTATTGTGGGTATTGAAAACTACTGTATTGCGCTGAAGGGAACTTTGTTCTTATGGCGTTGTCTGCACATGCAGGAATAACACGCCTACACTTCTTTGGATGTAACCCGTAGACCCATCTGGTAAAACGCCCGTAGGCAAGGTATCGATACAACCTGAAAACATAATTAAAAAATTATCATTGAGATAAATATTCCTGTGATTTGTGGGAACTTACTTTAAAACTAACATATCATTTGAAATTTATAAATAAAGTCTGTTAATACAATTAAGATTAAGGTGCAGTCATCGAATTTAGCACTGGCCAGGTGGTCCATGGTCAGTGAAAATTTTAAGAAAATGTAGTTAAATATATAGTAGAATAAATTCAAAACTGGAATTCGGGCTTGTCAATTCAAAATCTTAAATTCATTGACTGAAGTTGAACTTCTTTGAAAAACAAATACTTATAACTGAAATATTTAACTCACTCATGAATTTCTTGATTTTCTTCTCTTGGCCAATGGTCATGAACAAACTCGTAATAGGAGATTTCAAACACATGAATGTTCAGGCAATTTACCTGTAACCCCTCATGAAGGGTAATGCAGGGTACCCCTTCTGCTTCTGCCTTCCCATCAACAATGTTTGCCGATTGGCAGCACTTCCTCTCATGGGCTGAAGGCATGTTAACACAACATCCACATTCACACCTGAAAAAAAGTAATTACTGAATAAAATGGGTGCGAGTGAAATTATTCAGGCGTCCGATAAAAGGATTCATTTTTGTCTTAAAAAATCGGATTATCCTACAAGTCAATTTTTATTTTTGTCAACATGTACTTAATTAATAATTAACATTTAAGTTTACTTAAATTATTATCTATGCATACATGTGCATTACCGCCCATGTAGCTGTAGGTATGTTTGATTGTCATTATGTTCGACAATTCTTGCACATTCGTGGACTTGTAGTTATTGATAGATTCTTATTGAATAATTGCAGTAAAATAGTGTGATAAAATGTAAGATTACTGTCAACAATTAAAAAAAAATAAAATTTAAACACAAAAACACTGACCAATCATCTACGTTGCAGATGTAAGAATCATCAGAACTGTGGTCTAAAGAGTCAGAGTCAGATGACTCGCTCTGCTCTGCTTTTCAATTCTTTGTTCAAACATATACGGTCTTATTTCATGGACATCGTCCTCATAAAGCTCCAATTCGTCAGAGAAATCCATGAGTTTACTAAATAGTAGCAGTGTTTAAAGTTAAATTATCCGTGATTGTTTACAGTTTCGTTATGATTTCCAATATGGCGATTTTTCCTAATTTCAACAATGACGTCACAACAAAGGGAAGTAATTCATACAAGCTTGTAATAAACGGTGCGTTATGCGAACTTTTACCTGGTTATTTATGGTATAAAGCGGAGGGTTATAATGTTGCAAACGAGTTTAATCTTCTTTTTACGTAAACAAAAAACATTAAATTTGACCTTTAAAGGTTTTTCAACTGAGTTATGGTCGAATGTCACAATAAAGAGTAAATTTCACGAACCGATACTTTTTTGTTACCTGCGTGTTAGGGACATTTAAACTGAATCATTGAAACATTAATATGTGTTCTTTGGCTTGGCAATTCGTTTGAAATATATATTTTATCCAATTTCGTGGGAAAAGCGTTTAAACCCCTTTCAGTTTGCAAATCTGCATATAAACAACGGTCACGTGATGAGTCTCGGGATGACTAAAAAGCGAAACGGAGTATTGTTTGTGTATCGGCAGCAACAGAGTGCGAAAGTGGAATATACCAACATTGCATAAATTTAAGAGCAAATCATGGATTTGTTTGTTAAATTTCTTGTTGTGCACATATGTTTTTGCAAAAGCAATTTTAATACATTTAAAGCATTATATTGGTGTAATCATGTATTTTCACACAGTTACAATGCCGAAGTTGGCTAAACGTACGGAGATGGAAACTGACATACACAAACTTTACAAATATTCTATGTTTAATTAAGTGCGACCGTGTAATTAATAAATATCATGTTTTAACTTTGTTATGGTTGAAATATCTAGATATCTAGGCTAAGAAAATTTCTATTATCAAGACAGTGTGATGGGTCCTATTTCATTGGTCACCTTGGTTTATCTGACACACGTTCAGAAAAAAACACCGCAACACTTTTATACAACGAACAAGACCTTGAGTATTACTAGCTTCAAAAATCACACGCACACACTTACACAATACAAAGAAAACGATTTCACGCACACACTTACACAATACAAAGAAAACGATTTCGTTTGTTTTCTCTTTAACTCGGATCAAAGCACTGAAAGCACTGGCTACATAGGGAATGAATCGGGACACATAATGGGACATTTAGACATCAACTTTATGTTTATGTGTGTCTAGTGTATATACTTAATATTCTACAAGAAAAAAATCAATGTCCTTTGCTAGATAGATCTGAAATTGTATTTTTATCATTTTACATTTTATTGTTGATAAGAAGATTACGTTTTTGATCAGGACATTCAAAATTATAGGAAATAAATACCTTTTCCATGCAACTAGCACATGGTTAACATTATCAAGAAGGTCGGAAAAGAGTTACACCCTGGCTCTATTAATATTATTATTATCAGTATTGATTGTATGCTTAAGCAGATATCTTGATAAATTTCTGTATAA